GGGCTGCAGGGTAATCACAGGATCTTTGTAAACGATCACCTCACCACACATAACAAAATACTACTCTCAAACACCAAAAGGGCTGCCAAAGAGAAGGGTTTCCGGTATGTTTGGGTGAAACACGCCAAGATTTTCGTGCGCCGCGACGACCAATCTCCAATACTGACTATCAAGACCGAACGGGATTTATTGAAAGTTGTCTAACTGATAAGTTTTTAATTTTTAGGTTTTTTATAATATCACAACAAAACGACAGTTTGTGCATCGCTGGTCCAAAACGTGAGGATGTCGTTTTCCAATATCGACTGTGTCAATGCTTTAAAGTAAGTTTAGTCCATTGTTTGTTGCTTAATCACCGCTCGCTTAACAGCTTCACAAATCTATACGCTATTCCTCTACGCATTGAGCGCCTATCTCCTTGCACGCATCAACTACGTAAATCACTGTTCATAGTAATGGCTTTTTTCGCGCTATTGTATTGCATAGTTTTGCTTAACTCAATGGTAGAACGTGCTCTAACACTGTGTCGAACTTGTTATTTTTGTGTGTATGTTTATTACTACCGCCGCATTGTTGACCAATTTATCAATTATATTATTTCATTGAATTCTATACATTTTAATCAATTAGTATTTACAATAACAATCATTAATGGCTAAGCTTAATATATATTACCAAAATGCTCGTGGCCTGCGTACAAAAACTAATACATTCCTTAGGAATATTTGTATGCATAGGTATGACGTTGTACTTATAACTGAGACCTGGTTATTAGACGGTGTACATAACAGTGAGTTGTTTGACGACCGGTATCTGGTCTGGAGGCGTGACCGCAATTATGAGCAAACGTCGCAATCTCTGGGTGGTGGCGTACTCATCGCGGTGCGAAGAGACCTATCCGTGGTAGAAAACTGTCAGTGGCGCAGCTCTGCAGAGGATATTTGGGTGACGTTGACGTTAAAACATAATAGACCTACAGTTTCTTATAGAATACATTTGTGCACGGTATATATATGTAGTGAAAAAGGTGGTAATTCATTGAAAACGCAGTTATTAAACTTTTCAAATAAAATGTGTAACATTGTTGCGCATCAGCCGACTGATACTTATATTATAGCAGGAGACTTTAACTTGGCAGATAATATCACGTGGACTAAAGCTTGCGGTGAGTTGGAGCTTCGACCTTTAGATATTTCAAGTGACTACATAAAGAACTTCATTGATACTATTGACACATGTAATTTTTCACAATATAATGGTGAGTATAACCTTAATAAGCGTATACTTGACCTAGTTTTCTCAAATAGCCCATTAAGTATTAATTCATGCCCCAATCCTTTAGTTCCAGAAGACAGTCACCATAAGTCACTAAATATTGTTGCAGAGTTTATTGAAATTCACACTATTATACAACAACCACAAGTGAAATTTTTATATCATCATGGTGATTACCAATCAATTTCATCTACTCTCAATAATATTAAATGGGACTCATACTTGAATGCACATTCTTTAGAAGAAGCAGTCAATCTCTTTTACTGTAAACTGTATGAGTGTCGAGACATGTATGTACCTACTAAATTAATTAAAACTGGGTCTCATCCTCCTTGGTTTAATTCGGCCTTATTAAAAATTCTAAAAGAAAAATATAAATTTCACCGTAAATATAAAGTATATGGTAATATCTCGGATTATCACTCATTCACAGTGCTGCGTAGAAGAGCTATTGACTTTGAACAAAAATGTTTTGATAATTACTTGGATAAAATTCAGAAATCAATTGTTGACAACCCTAAACTATTTTGGTCATATGTGAAAAGTTTAAAATGCTCTAATTCCTATCCTGGTGTAATGAAGTATAATAACACTACTTCAGATTCAGGTGAAGCTATTTCCAATATGTTCGCAGACTTTTTCCATTCCACCTTTACAGTGCAAGATCCTTATCTAGGGTTACACAATCTACCTATCAGTGTAACTCATGGTGCCATTTCTATCAGTACAGTTGAGATTGTTCAATCTACAGTGCTTAAACTGCTAAAATCCCTTGATCTCTCTAAATCTGGTGGTCCTGATCATATTCCTCCTGTATTCATAGTAAAGTGTGCTGACAGCCTTGTAGTTCCGCTTTGTTTGCTTTACAAAAGATCTTTAAATGAAGGCATCGTTCCATCAATATGGAAATCTGCATTTATTACGCCTGTATATAAGAAGGGTGATAAATCACATATTGAAAATTATCGTCCGATCTCCAAGTTATGTCTTTTTGCAAAAATATTGGAAAGGCTGGTATTCAGTGATGTTTATGCGGTGTTGAATCGTACATTTAATGAACACCAACATGGCTTTTTAAGAAATAGGTCCACCGTCTCTAACTTAGTCATCGCCAATGAATTCATAACAAGAGGCATGGAGGGCCGTGCACAAGTTGATGCAGTTTACACTGACTACACTAAATGTTTTGACCGCATAGATCACAATGTGCTTCTGAACAAGTTGATGGTAGCAGGCATACATGGAGATTTATTGCGCTGGTTTGCTTCTTACGTAGCTAATAGGAGTCAGGCGGTTGTGTTGCGTGGCTTTATGTCAAGGTGGACATCAGTCCCGTCTGGTGTACCGCAGGGTTCTATCCTTGGACCTCTATTATTCATCATCTTCATCAATGACATTGGATCTTGTTTTATTCACTCGAAGATCCTGCTCTTTGCTGATGACATGAAGGTGCTAAAAGTCATACGTGGGCAGACAGATGTTGACGATCTTCAGGCAGACTTAAGCAGATTTGAAGCCTACTGTACCATAAATAGACTTGAACTTAATGTGTCCAAATGTTTTTACATGACATTCAGCCGTAAAACATCAACCATAGGCACTGGTTACAAATTACATGGCACCAACATATTGAGAGTCAGGGAAATGAGGGACTTGGGTGTACTCCATGACGACAAACTACTTTTTGACAAGCATATTGACTGTATAATAAGTAAGGCATCAAAAGCACTTGGATTCATTATTCGGACATCGGCGACGTTCAGTGATATCAAGTGCATTAAAATTCTTTATTGCTCTTTTGTACGGAGTCACCTTGAGTACGCTTCACAGGTCTGGAATCCATGCTATGAAAGCTATAAGTCTCGGTTGGAGGCAATTCAGCAGAGATTTTTACGTTATCTGGACTACAAAACTAAACAATTTTCATCAGGTTATGAGCATAGGTGTACTAGGTATCATTTTTTGCCGCTTCGTGTCCGTCGAGACATTAGTGACATCAGTTTTCTGATGGGGATCGCCAACGGTAAGATTGATTGTCCGGAATTGTTGTCACACATAAACCTGCGCACAAACTTGTTACATTACAGATGTCGACCACCTCTGCAAGTGCCGTTTGCGAGCATTAATTATAGGCAAAATACGTACACGGTGCGTGCTTTGAGACTTTATAACAATGCGACAGTAAATCATTCTGAGTTTGATTTGTTTTGTTCAAGCATAGACACAGTCAGGCGTGAAATGACCAAACGTCACTTTGACACATCACGTGATTGGCGATGAATACACTGGTATGTTCGTTTAATTCTTAGACTCTTTTTCTTTTACCATCCTCTAAGGTTTAAATTGTAGGTATATTAGGAAAGTAATTTTTATTTTGTTTTTAAATTTATTGACTGCGTTCTTTGTATTTTCCTGTAATCTCTTTTTGGCTTGCTAAGCACTGTATATTGTTTCATGTAGGTGGAAATTCGTAAATGGCATTGGATTACTCATATTTAAGTTTACTATAATTGTATTATTTGTCCGTGAATTTTCCTAAAATGTATAAATAAAATAAATAAATAAATAAAAATAAAGCAAGATGGCGGACACGATTTTTCAAAAAATGCAATATGGGTATCATTTTCGAGATATTTGGGGGTGCTCATTACGAATATAGCACTTATTAGGAAATCCAAGAAGGCGGACACGATTTTTCAAAAAATGCAATATGGGTATCCTTTTCGAGATATTTATGGGTGCTCATTACGAATATAGCACTTATTAGTAAATCCAAGAAGGCGGACACGATTTTCAAAAAAAAATGCAATATGGGTATCGTTTTCGAGGTATTTGGGGGTGCTCATTGCGAATATAGCAGTTATTAGTAAATCCAAGATGGCGGACACGATTTTTCAAAAAAATGCAATATGGGTATCGTTTTCGAGGGATTTGGGGGTGCTCATTACTAATATAGCACTTGTTTGTAAATCCAAGATGGCAAACACAATTTTTCAAAAAATGCAATATGGGTATCATTTTCGAGTTATTTGGGTATGCTCATTACGAATATAGCACTTATTGGCACGATTTTTCGAATAATGGCAAGTTGGGTATCGTTTTCGATGTATTTCGGGGTGCTCATTACGAATATAGCACTTACTAGTAAATCCAAGATGGCGGACACGATTTCTCAAATAATGGCAAGTTGCTTATTTCTAAATCTAAGATGGCGGACACGATTTTTTTGAATATATGCAATATGGGTATCATTTTCGAGGTATTTGGGTGTGTTCATTATGAATATAGCATTTATTTCTAAATCGAAGATGACGCACATGACTTTACAAATAAATGCAATATGGGTATCATTTTCGAGGTATTTGGGGGTGCTTATTACGAACATGGCACTCATTTTGAAATCTAAGATGGCGGGCACGATTTTTCAAATAATGGCAACTTGGTATCTTTTTCTTGGTATTTGGGGGTGCTTATTACCAATATAGCACTTGTTTCTAAATCCAAGACGGCGAACATGATTTTTCAAATAAATGCCACATGGGTATCATTTTCGAGGTGTTTAGGGATGCTCAATACGAATATAATATAATAATAATATAATGTAATAATAATAATAATTTATTTATTTCGGAACTGGTCCATAATTTGTTAGTAAATTACAAAATGCTTAGGTCTAAGGATTAGTTAATTGTACAGCGACGCAAAAACAAAACAATATTTATTTTCTATACGACTGCATGTAGTCGCACCCAATGCGCGAGCATCGGCGAGTCCCAGCGTGCGGACAACGCGCTCAGGATGCGGTTAGGGCTGTCGCGCAGGCGGTGCAGCATCGAGGCGTACTTCTTGCGTATGATGGCTGCAAGCCCGTCCGTGTGCGCCTCCGCGAACAAACCCGAGGCGCTACAGAAGCGCGACAGCCCCAGCAATACCCGGAACGCGTTGTTGTATTGCACGCGCAGGCCGTTGTATGTCCCCCGCGAATAGTCGACCTACAGACTGCACGTGTAAAAAGATTGGCAGTAGGCTTTAAAAAGCGTTATCGTTACTTGTTTTGTACATCGTGCAAATCTGCGGGCCAACATATTGGCTCGAACAGCCAACGACCTGCGCTCCCTCTCGATGTCGACGTTGTCACAAAAATCATCCGTGACCCAGTGACCCAAGTACTTAAACCTCGTAACCATATTCAAACGAGCGCCATTAAGTGTTACATTAGGTACAATAGAGTAACACTTAGTACTTGCCTTACAGATCATCAGCTGGCTCTTCGTAACATTGTACTTGAGTCCATGGGTCACAGCGTATGACTCACAAACTTGCAACATAGACATAAGTCCTCTAATTGAAGGGCTGAGCAGCACCATGTCGTCCGCGTAACTGATGTCATTAACACAAACTCCGTCAATATGACATCCGACATTAGTGCTGCTCAGCTCATACATGAATCTATTAATATATAGGTTGAAAAGTTTGGGCGAGGTGAGCCCCCCTACCTCACCTCACATTCCAATCTATAACTGTCCGAAGTAGCACTTCCCCATCTGATACAGTTGCTTTGATTATTATACCAATACCTAAACAAAGAGATTATTTCACGTGGCAAACAGGTCTCATTATATAATTTGCCCCATAAGACATTATATGACACTGGGTCAAAGGCCTTTGAGAGGTCCAAGTAGCATGCGTAAACCGGTGTCTTTCTCGCAGTGTAATACTGTACAATCTGCTTGAGACACATTATCGCACTTTCAGTCGACAGCCTTGGTCTGAAACCAAATTGCGCATCATTAAGACTCAGATGCTTACCCAGGTAGTCGTCAAGCAGACTGTCCAGAACTTTAGCAATTATGGTAGCCAGAGAAATTGGCCTATAATTAGACCATCTTGGATTTACAAATATGTGCTATATTCGTAATGAGCACCACCAAATATCTCTAAAATGATACCCAATTTCCCATTATTCGAAAAATCGTGTCCGCCATCTTGGATTTAGATATAAGTGTCATATTCGTATTGAGCATCCCCAAATACCTCAAAAAGGATATACATATTGCATTTAAAAAAAATCGTGTCTGCCATCTTGGATTTACAAACAAGTGCCATATTCGTAATGAGCACCCCCAAATACATCGAAAATGATACCTAACTTGCCGTTATTCGAATACGCGTGCCTGCCATCTTGGATTTAGAAATGAGTGCCATATTTGTATTGAGCATCCCCAAATACCTCGAAAAGGATACCCATATTGCATTTTTCTGAAAAATCGTGTCCGCCATCTTGGATTTACAAATAAGTGCTATATTCGTAATGAGC